GGGGGGGGGGGAACAGAAGAGTGTTTTAAAGATGTAAAAGAGCAGACATAAAAGTAGAAAAAAGGTGAGGTGAGTACCGTAAAAGTAGTCGATTATGACATACAATGGGGTGATGATAGTTTGAAGTCAGAAGTCAACTGCCGGTTAATAGACTTTTTTGCCGTATGAGTATACGTTGCCCAGGGTGCACCACGTGGAGGTAGGTCTATCGCACACCCCTACTTTAAACCTTGAGTTGTCGTCTCTGAACCTATGTATTTTGATGGAATTAATTACTGTATTGTCCAAAACATTTTTGGTTTTCTTAGATTTAAATATATAATTAATTGAGCTCATTTTTCTTTCTATGAGTGGACTAGCAAGAAGAAAATTACCAATATTAGATTTGTGGGCCTGACTTGCTTACCTAATTTCTAAAGCAAATTCAGAACAGTTTCTAAGCATAGAACGCTGTTCTTGATCGCAAGTATTTAAATAATTTAAAAGTTGTGGAACCCCTAAATTAAGCAAAATGACAAATGTTTGCTTTCATCCGAGTTGTCCGAGTAGGAGTGTAAGACGGGGGTGTGAAATGGGGTCGCTTAATTTAATATAAATTAAAGAAGGCGCAAACAAAAGAGTTGATCATTTAAAAACATATATGTATATTCAGTTGCCTAACTGTCATTTCTCTGCCAAAACAAAATTTCATTTTTAAAATACTTGATAAAATGACAAATTCTAGTGTCCTCTACACTTAAACTATGTATGATATTAAATAAAATTGACGAACTAAATAGCAGTGAAATTGACTTCTTTAAGATGGAAATAGACCTAGAAGTTTATTGTTTTACTTCTTAATTTAGTCCTTCAGAATTCAATAGTAGATTAGCTCAGTAGATTATCCAGTTAATCTTTTTGTTCACTGTAGATTATTGTTGGTTGAGTTGATATAAATTAGTATGTCTCACAGTCTGTCATTGTTCCTTAATTTTATTGCATACGACTAACGGTTTTTTCTTTTATTAGTACTTTAAATGTCAAAGACACAATTATCAAAGGAAGAATACTTAAAAAAGTACTTAAAGCCTAAGGGTAGTAGCAAGAAGACAGATGGTCAGGTTCATTATATCACGTAAGTCAAGCTCCCCATAAATTCATGCCTTGGGAACTTTTATATATTAAAATCAATGTCATTGGAAATATTTGTCATTTTAGAGGTGAAATGCCTGATACATTAGATGCCTACGAGGAGGTAACGAAAGCTCAAATTAGCAAACGTCCACTGTTAAAATTCAATGAAGACGGTGAAATCTTACCTTTGATTGAAGAGACACAGGTCCGAAAACGTACCAAGGGAATTCCTTCTGAAGAAGATTTACAAAATCAGCTCGAAAAGGCACGCAGAAAGGCTGAGCTTGAAGCCAAATATCAACTTTGGAATCGAGGGTAAATTTATTTATCTATATTTGGAAAATGTAATTTATGGGTTTTATCTTTTCGTTTTACAGTACTTGTATTCGAGATTAGTATTTTTTATTCCATTTCATATAAGTTGCCTGTTTCCACTTTCGCAGTACTAAACTCGGGCTCTAAGATCGTTGCTTATAGGCGCGATGTGAACGAAAAGAATTGCCAATGTTGCTTTGTTTAAATCTTTTTTCCTATAATTACCATATTGGGTGTTTTAAATTGATCCCTCTTGTAATTGCCTGGCTTTATTTTACAATTTTTCCTTAATATACAGCTTGCTGTTCCTTCTTTTTCTGAATGCTAGAATTGTCATTTAATTGCGTGATACATTGTCGTCTGCACTGTTAAAATTTCAATTTATCTTTCACATTATCTAAACTTGGCTCTCATAATTAATTATTCTGTAGTAATCGATAGTGATCATACGTTAGCTTATTGTTTGCTAATGTTTGTTGAAATTCATCGCATTTCTACACATATTGATACTGGACTTCAATAAAGTATACCTTGAAAGACCCTTCAAATCAGTACCATCTAGTTAGTTACGTTTTGTCTTATAGACAAAGATCTTTTGAAGCCAAGCATTTTCGGATTTCATTTCTGGCAGAAGCGTAGCGTACTCTTAGTTGATAGTGAATATTGTCTGCCCATGATTATCGATTTCATGGCTTCTGTTTCACTGGCACCTATTCATACAAAATTTTCCAAATACCACCAGTCACCTATAACTGATAGTGCGCTTTAAAATTAATTTTTTAACCTTCAATTGGTTTTCCTCTTATTCCTCTCTCGTGAGGGAGCTAGAAAGGTAGTCGGAATTTCAAAACATTGGCATGATGTTTATTCTTAATCTTTTTTATCAGTATCGACACAATCAAGGAGGAAGAACAAAAACTACAAGATGCCCAGTATGAAGCGTCGAAACCACTTGCCAGATATGCAGATGATCAAGACCTCAATTCTAAATTAAAAGATATTATTCATGCAGATGATCCCATGAGTGCCTACTTTGCTGAAAAGGAGAAAAAGAAGAAGGAAAAAGAGAAAAAAAAGGGAAAAAAGAAGTCAAAAAAGGGGGAGCATGGCAGTGGTGAGTCCCGAATTATTGACTCTCAATCACTTGCTTTATAAAAAATGTCTACATTGACCAACATTTAGTCATGTATGCGTATGCTCTTCTTGTGTGATTTAATTATTATTATCGCGTTATATTGTTATCTAGTCGCTCGCTATTGAGTTGCTATAACACTGAAAGTGGAACTATGTGGTTGAGAAGCCAACTGGCTTGTTAAAATTGAACCCTAATCTATTGAAATTTAAGACAATGCACACACCTGATTGTATTCATGGAGTAGTAGTTTTAATAATGTCCCATCGGCACTCCAGCCCTTATGTCAATTTAGACTGGTAGTCGATTTATGATAAACAAAAATCGTGAAAGGAAATAAAATTACAAGCAGTTACGCTGACCACGAACTTATTCGGGTTCTGCGATCGATTTTAACAGGAATTTCACGTAACCCATTGAGAAATTAGTGGAGATGACAATGATTATGACAATATGGCTTTATTCTCTCTTTTCGATAACTGTAGGGGATGAATCTAATGCGGAAGAGGAGATAGATGACAGGCCTCGGTACAAGGGACCTACCCAGCCCCCTTCCAACCGATTTGATATTTGGCCGGGCTATCGATGGGATGGCGTTGACAGAAGCAACGGTTTCGAGAAAAAGTACATGGAGGAGATGGCAAGAAGGAAGGTGGAAAGAGAAGAGTTCTACAAATGGTCAGTGGAAGATATGTAATGAAACGCACTTCTACACCATCTGCTGTACATACTCAACTTTACATTCATACTATTTTTCGTATTTATCTCGTTCTTTTGAATATTTGGTGATATTTTTCTGTAGTTGCTTGTAAAATTGGTTTTGGGGTGGTAATAAAGGGGGGGGGTTGGAATTTGGTGACAATTCAATGCGTATATAAGTTAAGGCATCTCTTAAAACAGAAGTGAGGTATATGCTAGACAATAGCCGGGTGCTAATGTGCGTAGAATCCAAAATGAGGTATGCCTGAGTTCGATCCTTTGGGAATTGTTGTTTCAGACTAGATTTTTAATGCTTCTTGGTCGATTTTTAGACCCCCGGAAGATTCTCTAACTCAGACCCTATTTCCTGCATCTGGTTGCTTCCATCAACAATCGCTTCCATATTCTAACAATTTCAAATCTGATTTGGGATACAAAAGCTAGCTTTTACAAAACAATCTTTTACTAATAGCTGAAAGAGCTTTGTTATTTGCAAAATATTAACCCTGTTAAAGATTATGAATAGAATAAAGTTGTATTATAGTCTTTATAGGCCAGCTTCTCCAACTCAACTATTCGATTTCTCATTCTATCAGCCTCCTTTCTCTGTCCGTCCAATTTTTCCTTCAGAGATTCGACTTCTTCCCGCAATTCTTTCACCTCCAAGCAGTCGACATTTATAATCTCAGAGGTAGATGAAAGAATTGTCTTGATTTCTAATGCACTCGGTCGATTAGTCGGATCTTTCGAGAGCATTTTCGCCAGAAGTTCGGCCTAAAATAGAGAAATATATATATTTTTGGTATTCAACCAATCAAAATCGCTCCAGTATCTAAGTAGAGGGTTGAATTACAAGAAATCTGATTATTCAAGCAGATTTCGAATGCCACAAGCCGTAAGAAGTGTTGCAGATTGTGTCATCTTGTTAACTGCAAGTAAAGTGAGGCTAAGAATCGTACTTCCCCCAACATTGCCGTTATGCATAATATTACCGTATTTGTTTGAGAAACTTTGAAAAGCAAAATTAATACAGACGGTATAAATAAAAGCCAATTTGGGCTAAAAAGTTGAGTAAAATTGAGAATAAATAATGATAACCATAAAACGCACTTAACGTACCTCTACCGGCCAAAGTTTGTACAAATATTCCGGTAACTTGACCTCTTCAGTTATCTGAACCATTTCCATCTCAGTTTTGCAATAATGAAGCAATTGCAACAAGACTACGCCAAGAGCGTAAATGTCCGCCTTTTCATTGTACTTCGTCCAACGATCGCCAGTGGATGAAATGACTTCGGGAGCGACGTAAAATATCGTCCCAATATTGGCAGTTAGCATTTCTTTATTACCTTTGCTTGCTTTTACCAAGGGTTTCTTCTCCTCCTCTAAGTTAGGCACTGAGTCATCTGATAAAATAAGTGTTACTTGAATCATTTAAGTCAATCTTATAATGACTATCTGACAAATACCACACAGCATGTTATGACAACAGAAATAATGAACTTCTTAAAAGTGTCAAGAAGCCGATCTCAGGATTAGGGTCGCAACATGTGGGCAACTAGATTAATGATTCAACGAAGAAGATCGGTGCCTCTATGAAAGGTCTTCATACTTCACCATTAAAACTGATCTTCAGTTAGAAGATAACAGGGAGAACCAAAAACAAAGTAAACCCTTTAAGACGCAAAGAGGTTCTGTGGTTTGTAGAAGCTGACATGGCTAAAACAGCCAAATAATATCAATTCTCCTTCTAGGGCTAAAGTTGTTTGATCAATACGGTCTTTTATTACCTATTTATAGTTGCAATAAGTCTTACTAAAGGCAAGAAAATGGTCTTTTAAAAGGTCCTTTGGAAAAGGAACTGCACGTTTCCCTATGAGCTGAGAATCAAGAAAACGAAACTCCACAGAAATTATTTTAATAATTAAGCGTATATATGTGCGTCTGCTAAAAAAAAATTAAAGCTTTAGTGGACTCACCAAGCACTTTTGAAAGACCAAAGTCACCGATTTTGACAATCAATCTGTGGTAGCAGGCCTCATTTTTGCAACGGGGACTACCGAAAGCCGTGCAATTGCCACTGGCAAAATAGAAATCATTCCCCTCTCCAACCCCGTGAATGAATATATTAACGGGCTTAATGTCGCGATGAATAATCGAATTTTCGTGAATTGCAATCAGACCCAAAACAATCTGGTCGAATAGCCAGCGGACTTGTTTACGATATTCAACTTTCAATGATAGTGGCTTATCATCCCTAAATTCTTCTGGACAAGATGTGAGCCAGTCTTTGAGATTTGAGGAGCATAGCTCCATTTGAATGATTAGAGATACAGGATTTTTCGATAAGTACTCATTCTATAAGAGGAATATAGTAGATAATTTGGGATTACCGTAAATTGAGCACGGCGATCCGGTAGAGCCAATTCCAATTCATGGAAACTGTATGAGGATGGGACCTCGCTCTCTTCTTCTTCTTCTTCTGATTCATATTCATCAGTTGTACCTTCATCGCCATTTAGGTTGTACCTCCTGTGAACAAAATTCAAACATTAAACACTACTCATATAGTAGTCAGTAAATTTCAATTTGTAAAATGATTAACATGACACGTAATCATGATGAAAGTCTCACTTTATAATTTTATTCAGATTGATAAATCCTTTTTCATCATATATATCCGATTCAGCCTAAATATAGTAAAAAAATTACATGACAATTTAGCGTACATGGTTAACTGAAATCCTATTTGGCTCCATCCAACAGGTATAGTATCGAACAACGTGCGGATTAATCAACCTCGTTAACGATTTCACCTCTCTGTAAGCCACGAACTAAATCTTATTATAAAAAGAGGAATAAATTTACCAGCTGATTCATGGTTGAGATATTTGGAATCACCTTAAGGGCGTAGTTTGATCGGTCGATTCTATGCTTGGCCTAGAATTTATTACAATAGCTTCAATTACAACATACTTTAAGAACGATCGAAAACGCTCCATGGCCAGCCCAAGTGAATTGATTAAAATTGTCAATGTGACCAAGCATTCGTCCTTGGGGTAGCGGTTTTTCGACGATTTCATCAAAAGTCTTCCCCTTTGCCGAGTTCTGCTTAGCAGCTTTATTTTTATCCAACACTTCGACCTGTTTGTAGGTGAACGCAAAATGAGCAAAGCAACATATACCGCAATATCCATCGACGTACTACTCTGGAGACTTGATTGAACCAAATTAACAAGGTCCTTGTAACTCATGTCGCGACCGAGAATAGTAATCCTTTTATTACTCTGATTGACAACTAAATCACCATTCTGGCCATTTTTTTCAGGAGACGGTACCTTTGAACTCATAGTTTAATGGCAACCGTTAAAAAACAAATGATTTAAAAAAGTTCAGAAAATGTGCATGCGGCAGAAGCCAGTCGACTAGCCTCTAAAGCAAATTATGATAGTTTGAGTTCTCGCTTTTTCTAGATGTTTTTTTAATAACCAATCATTTCCTTGACCTTGTTTACGGGATTCATTCTAAAAACAAGTACATTGGAAAAAATCAGAATACCGACTCATTCGTACTTATTCGTTCAAGATTTTAGAAAATATATATCCATGTCTTGTGTATACCTAAGGTTTGTCATAAATTTAATTACATTTTCAGCAATATGTAGGCCTAAGTGAATAGTAACACAAAACATATTAAACTGCATGGAAAAACTTCAAAGTCTTATCAACATTTTCTTTCATTTAAATATATTCCATGCTAATAAATTTCTTCAATATAATCTGCTTTACCGAGCATTTTATATATTATTTTAAGTGCACAAGTACGTGAAATCATGATGAATGGCTATGGGACATCGAGATATTTGCCTATATTGACAAATTTATTATACCGGCCATATCAAACGTAATTTCGGATTTATCTTTTTAATTTTTTGTGGATAACTAAATTTACAATTGAAGTGAGGATGTGACATAACCTAGTCCCGAAATCATCTAAACAAATTCTACATTATCGGGGTGACATCATATGGAATGAATAGGGTTTTTTCTTGTAATGAAACGCTGACATAAAGCTTAGTCATTAACCGCAATCTTTGACACGCTAACAATGTAACGACCATTTGTTGGTTTGCTGAAAATTCCCTGCACCGATAATCACGCTAGCTCCCTAATGTAATCAACAATACCGTCGACCATTCGAGTGCTCATGGGATCAGTCGGTTCAAAAGCTTTAGCATTTTGGGCTTAAAAATTTCTGGAATTCTTCAAAAAGTTATTTTGAACCATTTATACCTATCATAAAACTATTATATTGCTTTCAGTTAAATAAGGAAGTCAAAATTTAGAAATAAAATAATTTAAAAATGTTTTTTTCTCTTTTTAAATATGATTCCTTAGTGTTATCATCTATTAGTGTAGACAATTATTTGAATGTCAGTTATCTCCATTTATGATAAGTTATCATTTTCTAAAGTGTTATCTATTATCACAGAAATGAATTATTTTATTTAATTGGGATTTGAAGAATTCTAAATGAAAATGTCCCAACCTACAACGTAATTAAATTTCCATCTAAATAATCATTGGCTCCTTCGTGTTTTGATAGGGAATCTTAGAATTTATTGCGTTATCATGTGATGGATGGGAGATCATATTTTGTAGTAAATTAACAAATTCTAATATGTAATTACATAAAATGAATTGTTTAGCCAACACGATTTAAATGTAATTCAACAAAATTTAATGACTCCCTTGACTTTATCTTGTTCTATTTTCTAAATTATTACCTGATCAGCTAATGCGCAACATTGTTGAAGCACCTCAAAAGGTTATGGCATTATTTGGGTTACGCATCCTATGGCTGAATGCGTTATAACATGATTAGTCTCAAAAATACGCACAAAATCATAAACTCAGGAGAATCTTTTCACTAAAATTATCCATGTCAATGAACATATTATTTGAAATACATTAAGAAGCGAGCAAATTTAATGAAATAATTGACAGTAAATCGTCAGTATATTCTTTTATTAAGAACTATTTACTTTGAATACCATCTTACTCAGAAAACATTGAATTTTCATGCTTTTGAGTGTTTAATTTGCCTTCAATCTTTTCCGAGATTTATCAAAGTGATTGTGGCAATGACAGGATAGACGACTCTGCTAGGTCTCAGAAGTTTCGAAATTCCAGAGGAGGGAAGAGAAGAACACATGGGTCCAGATAACTCTCTGTTAGGAAGATGCGTTTGAGTACAAAACAGGATTTTTGCAACAATGCCAGATCTTGCTCCCGACTCGAGTTATTACCCGGTATCAAGAGTGCGAAGGATTAAGAAGCTTCCCTCTTATTCTCGCGTAATAAGTTGCCCTTGATTATTGTTAACCAATGAGATTCTGAGCAATGTGAAAGTTGGAGAAATTTTCACTTTGAGAAGCCTTCAAGTACAAGGGGATCGAATATGATGACATTTCGGAATATCAAGAACTGTGAGAGACTCTGAATGGCAAATGAATAAACTGGTTGGCTATGATGGCATGGTGATATATAATAGGTATCACCTTGGACCAACTTTAATACGAGAACACCCATGCATGATAAATTTTTCCTTTGATGAACCTATCAAGTCTGAGATCATGGGGAGAACAAATGTTTAATAATATAATGGGATCTAAGTTATAGATTACTACAAGATTTTGCATAGCCTAGCTATATGCTGTGCAATTACTTAGAATCTCTGTCATTGCTACGAGAAACAGGTTTTGCAAGACCAATATTCAAGAGTTGTGAGCTTTGACTAAATTTGAATGTGGCTAAATAACTAATGACATTAAAGAAACATGATCTTAGTGGACATACAATTTAGATGAGCAAGCAGTCAGACTGTTGGCTGGATATGATATCAATGAGTAAACGTAGTGTGCAGCGAAATTGGTCTGGAAGAATTCCCTAAAGTACATGAGTACAGTAACATTAGCACGAATTGATACAGCTTTGTTTCATTGTTACTAACCTTAGACAAAAGTGCATCAAAAAGCATGAGAGGCGACAGTAATTCAAGACGAAGTAGTGAACTATTTTACCAGACGTGTGAGGAGCAGTGGTAGTAGATGTGATAAAACAACAGGAGGCAATTCAACATTCATTTTGCGGAAAAATTCCTTGTCTGAGACTAGTTTCATAGATATTTTGTAAGTTAGTGCCGCACGCATTTCATTTGATAATGAGATGTAAATTGTGAAAATTCAAATTTCAAGAATTTATCGATAATAACATATGAGAATAATTACTTTTGTTCCACAAAGATGTTAATCAAAGGATATTTACACTGACGAACCTTAACATAACCTATATATAAAGTCAAATTTTGAATCGTATAAAATTTATGTAACACAATTTCATAAAATGGCATTCAGAACTCATTATGAAGAATGTTATGTTCAATTTTACTTTTTCTGTAAAAAGAGTCGCTTTCTTGACGCCAAAGTCATATTAAAATGTTATTAAACATACGAAATAATGCAAAGTAGATTGACTTAAAAACTGTGACAATAACTCTTAAATTACCATTTTTTAAAGTTTCAGTCATGTTCTGTTCGTTATTTATGGATAGGTAGATCAGATACTCTGATTAATATAAGATTTGCTCATAGCAATCTGCTAAACAACTTTAATCTGTGTTTGATTTCTTATATCAATTTATACATTCGACTGACAACTTTAAATAATGATTTGAAGTATTATCTGTATTTATCAGCAAATTATCTGAGCTGAATGTCGAACATTTCGACGAAACTCGCCGCATTACATTACAATTTTGGTGTGAAGTCAAAATTATATGTTTGCGAAATATTAATTCGTTTAGATAATGGTATTCCCTAAATAAAAATTTATTTTTCAATGTTATTGAAGCCAATCATTTAAATTAGCTAAAGTGGTTTTATATCTTTAATGAATGAGTATTTATTTGTCATATGAATAATTAAAACATAAAGCTATTTTTATTCTATGAAAATTATTAAAAAAAGTGTTTATGGAAATACTTAATGGATTTATTCTTAAATTAAATTCTATTTTGTTTGACAATCTTGATTGTTTATGTACGAAACAGTAGCATCCACTTTTTCAATTGTTTAATTTGAAATCGAATATGTTTGAAGCTCGGCTGCCCCAAGCTGATGTTTGGAAGAAAGTTATTGATGCTATTAAAGAATTAGTCCAAGAGGCAACAATTGATTGCTCTGATACTGGCGTCAGTCTCCAGGCAATGGACAGTGCTCATGTCAGTCTTGTTTCACTCTTGCTTCGTAGCGACGGATTCGAAACGTTCAGATGTGACCGCAATATGTCTCTTGGCCTCAACATCTCAAGGTTTGTATGCATTGCCTTTATATAATTCACCTTCTTTAGTGCTGCAAAAATTCTCAGATGCGCCGGATCAAGCGATTCAATTACTTTGAAAGCTGGTGATAAGGCAGATACAATCACGTTCCACTTTGAGTCAAATAGTAGGTCGTTACATTGGTTATTTAATAATATTAGATCGAGAAAAGGTTTCGGAATTCGAGTTGAAACTTATGGATTTGGATGTTGATCATCTTGGTATTCCAGTATGTGTTTTTCTTCGCTGAATCCTAACACTAAATTTAGGAAACAGATTACAAATGCGTTATCAAAATGCCAGCATCAGAACTACAAAGGATTTGCCGCGATCTCGGACAAATCGGAGATTCCGTTGTGATCAGTGTTTCTAAGGATGGTGTCGGTTTCAGTTCGAACGGTGATCTCGGATCTGGGAAGATTAAGCTCTCTCAAACTGCTAATGCTGATAAACCAGAAGAAGCTGTTACAATAGAAATGAGTGAACCAGTTAGCATGACTTACTCATTGCATTACTTTAACATCTTCACCAAGGCCGCTCCTTTGGCTAGTCAAGTTATTTTGTCTCTTACTGCCGATGTCCCTGCTGGTATAAATTAATTCTATTGGCTAATCACTTTTTATGAACTTTTACTAATTGTTCATTCGTTTTAGTTGTCGAATTTCCAATTGAAGATCTTGGTTACGTTCGTTATTATCTCGCACCCAAAATCGAGGATGATGATTCATAATGGTTTTATCTGTGTGCTATAAATCGCTCAAATTTTATGTAATTGGTCGCAATTTTGTGTATTTAAGAGATTGCTTAAAGAAAAATAATATATATTTTCGTACTCACTCAATGGCTTTTGACGGCGTTTTGCTCTTTCCTATAACGCTCTTGTCTACTAGTTCCTACAGAATTTGGTGGTTATTTTTTCCGGAACCGTATATGTGCGTTTCCTATATATTGTGTGCTCATTGGGAGCATTTGTGTTATTTAGGAAGCAAGACTGAAATGTGTAAATTTGGGGTTTTTATTTGCCTCTTTGCTATCAAAACGCCTGCCATTTGAAATAAATAAATAAATTTGTCTCTTTGATATTTGAGTGCTGAATGTTATTTTGCGTTGCATTCGATCTTGCATCTGTTTTTATTGGCCCTTGCAATGACGTCATCCATACATCACTCACTTATTGGGGAGGTATGGCAGGATGCCTAACTCCAATTCGGGATACATCACCTTAGCGTATGATTTGTTAACAGTGTCCGTATTTAACTCCAGCCACCAGCTAAAATTTTTTAATTGGTGTATTTTTAAATAGCATTATTATGCTTGCATTCTGCTCTATACTGCTTTTAATTAACAAATGTGTGCCACTGTAGTCTGATTGAACTCTAATACAATTTGAGGGTAGGTTTCGTAAGGTCGTAGGGAACTATTGGGGCGTTTGTTCGGAAGTGATTCGAAACGAGTGAACGCGAGGAACGTGGCTCTAACTTATTCTTCTAAAAGTAAACGCACCACTCCATACAATGCCATTTACGGTGATGGGTCATATTAGGTCGTGATAACGATTTTGATGCAATTTTCATATCCATTCTCCGTAAAATTGATGCCATGGGTAAAAATTTGTATATTGTCCTTTTTCTTGATGTCTCAAATAATTTTTTCTCTAGATTTATTTATATTAAATGGCAGGGGGTGTGCTATAGAGTTACCTTCACGTGGTGCACCCTGGGCAACGCATACTCATACGGCTAAAAAGTCTATTTACCGGCAGTTGACTTCTCTCTTCAAACTACCATGACTCTACTGTATATCATATTCAACCACTTCTACAGTACTCACCTTACCTTTTCCTCCCTATCTCTGTGTCTGTCTCTTTTATATCTGTGAATCATTCTTCTGTTCCTCTCTTTCGACTTTTAGTTGACCTCAGGCTTCACAGAGGAGAGGAACATCAAAGT